TGGCACGCGCGACTTCTCGAACCCGCGAAATCGAGCTCGGCCAATCAGAGTGCCTTTTACCGCCTCCGTGACCCGGTGATCCGGACGCAGTGCTGTAAAATAAAGGCGCGTGCCAGCCAGTTTTCCTTGAGTCCACGTACAACTTCTTAATAATTCATCCTGAAAATTATTCAAGTAACTGTCAATTTAATATCCTATTTATTCTACACATGTATACCTATACAATCTTATGTAACGATTTAATAAAATAAAGTAAGTATCTAAAAAGAATAATAACGTCTTTGCATTTACATGCAAGAAGAAGAAATGGAAAGATATGGAACCAATCGAGGCACTTTTTTTCAGATTGATGATAAAGAGGATATACAAAAAATGGTTCGATTCAATCGGTAGAAGATTTTAAACGATATCTTATCCTTTAATAATAGCTGATTTGAAATGCAAATTTCTGAATCCGTCACTGGCAGGACAGCCGCCGTTAGCCGCCTCCGCCACCTCCCTAGCCTATTGATCGACCCCCGAGCGAGCAAGGAAACGCAAAACGAGATGCGCCATAACACCAGCAGGCTCCCATGAAAGCGATACCGATAAGTTCGTCGACAGGATTGCACGCGTATCGTCTAGGATCGAATCATGGGGCACCATACCCCGATCCCCTGCCAGCATCAGAAACGACGTAGTACAACGGCGATCCTCACAGAGAGGAAACGTGCCACTTGTCGAGATAAGAATCTTTCTTTTTTCTTTCGCTCTGTAAATAGTTGAAGTCAAAAGCCCCTCTCTATTCACCGAAAAGGTGAACCAGACAGGGCTTGTTTATTCTTGTGCGACACCTCTTACGAATGCCCTTTTCCGAGAACTATGCTTTTTATAGAGCGAAGAAAGGGAGCTCGTTAACGGAGAACATTGCTGGCAGGGAGCGGATATAAAAATAACAAGTAAATGCTGATTAGAGATTGCCGATAATAATCATCTATAGATATTAAAAAGTAAACGAGTAACAGATAATTGTAGTTAATCGAAGTAGATTAGTTTGTCCGTGAATAAAGTACGCTGATAAAAAGAATAAAAAGTAGCAGACAAAGAAGAACAGAACAAGGTTAAATATCAACATAGAATGTTGATTAGAGTAGTCTACGCTATCTAAAAATTTACGATAATTAATGTGAGATTTCATCAATATGCCAAATAAGTTATATGTTTTAATACTAATAATAGAAATATTATATACATATTTACATTGAAATTCATGGAGACTAACTAGAGATGCGCCGTCCGTTGACCGTTCCTGAGCGTGACTGATGAAGGAAACTGACCCTTGACATTAGCCGGGAACTAGCCGAATAAAACGAATGTTATCGGGTGAACGCGCGTTATGCCGACGAATTCGGCCTATTCACAAAAGATGAAAAGGAAAGAATAAAATTCGCCTGTCAAAAGAATAGAGATTATGGAAGGTTAGTGACGCGTTTTCCCTGTGGGCTGGCATAAAAGCGAGGCGGATCGCTCGATGGACGGTAAAAACCATTTCTTTTGTACAGCGAGCGATATACATGTAAGAGACGTTTTATGAATAGGCAAGCACGATTTAATTCTTCTGCAAGTTTTAAATGCCGAGGGAAAAAATTTGTTCAGATCGGTGTTCATCGCAACGTCTAAAACGTTTCAATGGATCAGGCGATCCAGTCAGGATAAAGACGATATTATTTAACTGCCTTTTGAAAGTTCATCCGAAGAATCTAGATACAACGAAGAATTTCGTTATGAATATGCATGATCTTTTGAGTAAAATTCTGCTAAAAGATCAAATCAAAATTGACCTTGACGCGTCCTTGATAGTCTGGCCTCTGGTTTTTTCCATGAAACTTTAAAGACCCCTCCAACCTATTTTAACCTTCTCTTTGGTCGGCACACGTATTCGCTAATTAAAAGAGGACGCTTTTATTCTTTCATTTAAAAGTTTACGTGACAGATTTGGAACTTTCCTTAGGAGATATAATTAAATTCTTCTGAAGATATTTCCTTTAAAATTTCCGGTTTATTTGAAGAGAACACTAGGCACCAAGTAAGTAAACGAAGCATTCAAGTTTCTGCCAGTTTAACGTTATTCTTTGTAAGTTAGATTATAAATGGAGCACGGTACATTGTATCCGTGTTCCAGTCACAGATGATCAGGATACACACCGAGTGACGTCAAAACATGTTGAACGAATCTGTTAGAATGATATGCACATGTATACTGTGACGTAAGTAAAAGATTCCTCCGAGCAATGGAAGGAGGGGAAGAATGTGTTTAAAGAGACTCGTCCGTCCAACGTTGACCTTCCATCCGAAGATCCACGTGTTCCACTCGGTGGCTAGGAAAGTAACGCGACTTTGCGGCTATTTTATACAGTACAAATATCTGCAACTCTACTTGAGACCGTCATTAAAGAGACGAGAAGCGGTGTTAGAAAACGAGCAAGTACGTGACGTTATGTCCTTAGCACACTGAAGAGGTCCAATCGAGTTTCGGACCTTTTTTGATTTTTTTTTATTGCTCTTGAGAAGTTTATAGAGAATAGTCTATGATCCTCGATGCAATTGATCGAAATAAAATTTTCAGAAGGTTTTAATTATTGTGGAATATAATATCTTTAATTTTTAGAATGGCAGCGGCACATGATATTAAACTGGGAAACAAAGCTACGAGGATCGAATGCAGTCAGCCAGTAATAATCGCTGCATTATTTTCATTGGTTCACCGGATAAAGCGCATCCGGCCCTTGAATGCCGCGTGCGGTCTGGAATATCATACCGAGTAACTTCTAAAAGGAAACATATAGAAAATGTATGAAATATATATGACTCATTTGAAAAATTGTAACGTGATTTTCAAGGCTTTTCTTAATCCTTCTAATGCATTACGGAATATTTAAATATTCTCAACGCGAGAATGAGACAATCTTATTTTCATCCTTCTTCGATTATCGTTTCCTTAACCCTGCGGTTTGGCTTGGCGTCACAGCGTTTGGATCTTCTACCTCGTAACCATGCGGAGATATTGGATTTCTCACGGGATTATGGAACAAGGTGTGTTCCCCGTCGCCCCATGGAAAAGGCTATAGAAGGGAAATATTTATAAGTCACTTACAGGGATAAAGCTTGAAAGGTCTCAGCTTGTGAAATCGGTCACGATGTAAAATTATCAAATCCTCGAGGCAAGAAAGAAGAAAAGATAATGAAGGGAAAAGTATCAAATTTCCGTGGTGAAGGCAAACGATTCGTAAGACTTCATTAATCGATTACGGAGAATACCGCACAAATGGATTACCTTCCAGAGATGTACGAAGCAGAGAGCTTTGTTAGACCGAAGAATCAGTATAAAGCTTAAATGTTACGCAAAAGTACGCGTGCATTGTCGATTAATAAAGATATTAAGATCGAATTTGTATGATATTTAACTTAAAGTTACAGTTTCTCAGTTCGTTATTTAGAAGAATATGACGATCGTGAAAAAGGCATAAAATTCGTATGTAAAAAAACAGGTACCTTATTTATTCGCCTCATATAAGGAACATCAATGAACACAGGCCTCGATTGTTTATCCGATTCTTCCACCTTGGTGTAAACATAACACGATATACCTATTAACACGATCGCACCGATGACAGTCACCAGTTGCAAAAGTTTCTCTTCATAGGCCACTGTACTTGCAAAGCCACAAGTTATGTTGTTAAGTAACGTACATACAACGAAGCTGATAAAGTTTTTCGCGCATCGCTGAACAGCAAAGATGAAACTTCAGCTGCTAGCTAAAGTGAGTCAACTTTTAATAATTTTTATATACGTATATACTTTAAGATAACATCATAATACAGGTGTTACACAATATGTATATCGTGGAATAGATAAAAAAAAGCTGTTGTCTCAAGAATGACATGACAGTTAGGAATTAACTTAATCGTTGATTAAAAACGATAAAGTACGACGCATTCTTCTCGGTATCTTTATCTTTTTGACCTATAAAACAATGTCAATTTGAAAATATTTCGAATTCGAAGTCAATTTCCTATTTCTCAATCATTTTTCTCTCTTTCCTCTAACTGTAAGTAGAAAATTTTGTTTCTAGGAGTTTAAAACTTTACCTGTAGAACAATAATCTTTTACGTCCGGACAAGGGAATGGTGAGTGCTCTTCGCAATCATCCTCAACTGGTAGTTGACATTTTCTCGAAGATTTTGGACATTCTTGCGTATCTTCGTCAAACTTTGAATAGCAATCCTTAGAAACATCTTTGATTGTTGTCCCATCGCAATCATCCGATTTCAATGTTTTATCGCAAGGAGGTTCTTTGGAGGAGGAATAGTTACGAAAGCTCATGGAACAAAATATTGCTTCGGATAGATCTCTCGATCTCCATAAATTTTTACATGCAGACTTCTGGTAAGATGGATTTTCCGTGAAAGAATGGAACTTTAACATCGAATTCGACAACTTCTGCATGGATGAACTATGGTATTCCGCCGAAGGACAAAATTCCTTGGAGAACTTCCAAGAGTGGTAAATTGGCGCCAAAGGGAACTGCGAAAAGATCGACGATCCACTGTCGAGCAAGAAACCTCTTCTCTCGATGTACGTCTTCATTTCACAGCGATATTCACGACTGCTCATATACCTGTTTCTTTCTGAAACGAACTTTAACTGGAGAACGTCGGAGTTATAAGACTTCCCTTTCATGCGAAAACCGTGAATATTTTCGATCTCCGAAAACGGTTGCAATACACAAAAAGTCGACTTCTGTTACGTTAAAATAGAAACCTTGTTATTTATGCTAACGAATTACGCAAGATCCTGCAACATGGTCAGAACTGTAAAACTTTTTGCAGTCTTGCTATGTATGAATTTTAAACAGACAGTTTTGGTAACTTCCTCGAGAAAGAGATAATTTCTTGCGTAGACAATTATTCAAACGGTGAACGTGTTGCATTTTCATGACAGAAATTATACGAAATCCTTTTTGTCATACAGAACACTTAGTTCTTTGAATGGAACACGGATAGTAGTTGTTACACGGAATACCGCCGCAGCTTTAGACAAGACCATTTGCCAACAGGCATCTCACACGTTACAAACCGATAATGACAAAGTTCAAACGAAATACGCCCAGAGACCCTTTTATTAGAATCTTTAAAAGGAAATTAAATCTCATGTATCGTTGTCATGTCGATAGCACGATCGTTCTATTGTAATGTCTCTCTAATAACGAGTCGCTTATATCTCGTGAAAAAAAAGAGAATTTTATACCTCCATTTATCGCGAGCAATTTTCCATTCGACGATTCGTATCTTGAAATATCATTGAGCCAACCTTTACTGCTGTGCCAACGATACCCTGTGCTCCAATTTCTTTTTTTCCCGTCCAAGAAACCGGTTACATTTACGCTCGTTGAAAATACCATTCCAATATCCGATTTGATTAACGTGGAACGCGTTGTTCCGTTGACAGACACCAATGACAGGATCTTTAACCTACGCAAAAGTGAGAACATCGCGATATCGTGCCTTATTGCTGTTTTATGATCTATCCGTGCTTTTTGGATAGAAGATCACGATTTGGACACATTTTTCAGGAGAAAAAATGCGTATGCCTGGCCATACGAAAACGTAACTTTTTAGTCTCAATTGCATATACGGACTCTTTTGTCATATGAACTTATCCTCCTTTGTTCCTTCGAGCGTATTTTCACGTGTGTCAGTATTTAAAGAATTCGATACATCTGATATATCTATGACAAGTTCCTTCAATTAGTTGGAAAGCTTCGTAGGAATTTTCTTCTTGTACGAATTTCTATTCGATATTAGAAGATATTTTGAAGTACAAGGTAGATACTGAACGAAGATCATTGACATGATTTTTTGTATTACGTCTCTTAAGTTAATAAGCGAGGTAGTTCTCACAGTATCTAGATCAAGCATTTCCTTTTCTAGAATGGAATAGAACAGGTATATCCTCGGTGCTTATCTTCGTTTCATGACAAACATCGCACATCCGGCATACGAGTATACAACTCCTGTGACGTTTGCAAATCGACCGTATTTATAGCAGTCCTTCCGCTCTTCTCTCTGTACTCACTGTGAAGTTTCAATCTCTGTTTCGTGGAAATTCACGGCACAACATCGCCGATCAACACGCACGTTCCAATCAGGTACGTGCGACATGTACAAACATTTTACATATCGAGTCGTATTGCAAACAATATCTTATTTAAAAGCGCGATATTTTTCATCGACAGACGTGCAGTTTTAAACTGTGTAACATCATCGGGCAAATAATTCGGTTTTACATAAATGTTTCTGTTTATCAAATATAAACGTTCAAATAATACTGTTTCATAATGATATTTCTTGTACTCTTATAGTCTGCCTTTGATTGCTTCGAAATACCGTGGCTTACGAAAGTATTTGAAAATACATGGAAACATTTTCTGAATCGTATTATGCGAAAGATTTTCCAGGACATGCCACATAATGCGACTGTCACGATCAAAAGTTTGAAACAAATTCGAAAATGTACGAAGACGATAGAACATGCCTATTGCAAATATAAGTCTCAATATTCGTTGCAATCACTAATTAATTATATGTTTAAAACAATCATTTTATACTATGTACTAGTTTTTTTTTAAACGTACACTCGCAAAAAATCTCTCGTAATTTTTACGTACATTTCCAGATTAGTTTCAGATTTTATCACTATAGTTATGATAACCGTGTTTCATTCTTCAAAAGCTTTCTATAATACAGGCAATATATTCATAAAGATTTTTTATAGCGAATGTCCAAACATTATTGTCGCGAATTATTATTATGACAAATCAACGTATGTTCGAGAAATATCTCCTCTTAATTACATTAATAAAAGTAAGACACCTCGTATGGATAAATGCGCAGTAGAATAAATGAATCAGCACTCGAAATGTAGTTTATTGAAGCGCCAGAATGTCTGGGGTCAGTAGAAAGCGATAAATACGTAGTGGTCCATATATCATGGTTTATGCTAGCGTTACAATATCCGCAACATTATTTTGTAATTAGTTTTTCTTTCTGTGTAAATCTCAATAAGAAACACGCTCGAGATTTTCATACGCAATAAATTTCCGGAACTTTCTCCATTAAAATGAAACAACAATTACCGGATACGCTCTGACATTAATCTCCGACGTTTTAATCTCGCAAACAAAAGGAAAACGAAACGAAAAACATTTTCGCTGAATTTTAGTAAGGATTTGAAATATTATCGTGGTGTGGCGAGTGTCGAAAGTTGAAAATAGAATGCAAGGGAGCGGTGACACAGAAGAACAGATAACAATAATTTAATGTCGAACGCACGAAGGACTCCCGAGATCTATTTCTTTCAATAAATCCGTTTTCACGGAAAGCTTCGCAGGAACGTTCCAACTTCTTGATGGAACTTCGAACCTTTGACATTAACCGAATAATTTCCAACGCAGCCTCTAAAATTTTTACGACTACGAGTTGTAAACTGGAAGTGCGATAGTTTAAAGAAGAAAATATCATTGCGATGGGTAGGAGGATATTTACGCTACCGTCGTAAAACCATGGGAGAGGAAATAATTGAGAGAATCGTAGATTATTATAATTAATCCGTTGATGATACGAAAAACGAATGGAGCAACGTAACTTTGCGTTTTCATTATCTGTACATTGGAAATGCAGAGCCGGTGGTAATTTTCAGTAAAAGATTTGCCTGGGGAAAATTCAATTGCTCGTCGCGAAGTTAAATGAAAATGAAATAATTAATCTTCCGACAAGGACTTTGTCGCAATCAATATTACACGACGATATCGCTGCGATGTTCGGCTCTCCCTTTGGAATCAGCTACTTCGAAAAGAAAGAACATTATTTTTAGTTATTCTCGTCATTTTAATAAGATTTTGTATAAGAATTCGAAGATAAACTCCAAATATTTATGAAATTATTTCGGTAACTGTACCAGATATGCATAAGAAACAAACTGGAACAGTGTTTTCGTGGCAGAAATAATTCCAGTGAAAATAAACGAAAATGCGAGGAGTGAAATTACGAAGAAAATTGAGATCGGAAGTGCGGTCGATAAAGCGAACTAAAATGACTCTTCTTCTGTTCCAAAAATCGATTAACCCAAAATCTTAATTATGATCATGTGAACAAAATCAGTTAAAAAAATTTCATTAATTACGTTACATTTCATCTAAAAATTCTTATCTATCTAAAAAAAATAATTCTTATCTATAATAATTTCCATTCTCATTAATACATTTGAAGTCTTTGTACTATTGCTATCGTACTACTTTTGTACCACTAATAATATAATGTTTGTATGTTGAATTGAAACAAATTATACGTTTACGTCTTCGATTTGTACGTTACGTCTTCGAGACATAGGTCTGTAGATATACATATATATTTCGTCTAGCGTGTTCAAAGGAGTGCAATCATGAAATGGCGCAAAATGGAAATGATGATAATTACTGCTCGACGATAGAGCAGGAACAATAGAATCGCGTTCGACTGCTAGCTCCTGGAAAACAGGGATACGTCGATGCGCCTTGCGCGGCAACCTTTGACATTTTCAAGAGGACGGGTCGAAGTATTTCCACCCTCCTGGCCTAGGTACAGCCCGCTTTTCGTCAGCCCCACATCCGGTCGTGTAAAGGTGTGTGTACATGGTGAGGCGAAGAAGGTGGTTAAAATGCTTACAAGGAAGAGAGAGAAAGGAGATAATTAAAGCGTATTGCGCGTTAGGAAACACGAACGGCCGAGCATTTTTTCATTCAGCTGGCGAATCGTAATTGGAAAGTTACGCGGAAATCCTTTCGATTTGCAGTGAAGGGCATAATGAAAGTAAACCGAGACGAAAGCGAAACTAGGTCGATAAAATTCTTTTTTGCTGCTCCTTTTTCTCCTTTTCTCTACTCCTTTTTAATGAACGTTCCAACTTATACGTAATTGGACGATGAACACCGGGGATGATCATGGAATTATTTCGAGTGTCATCGATACAACGCCCAGTTTTAATTCAAGACGATGCACCATGATGTTTACATAGATTGTAAATGAGATTTGATCCGATTCCTGATACGACCGCAATTGTGAGACTACAGCGCGACTTTCGCGCTTGAGAATAATAATGGAACCTCCTTTGACCTTATTTTTTCTTGGAAAGTAATGGACGTGTCATATGCTGCGCCGTGCTTCACGATTATAGTTGTCTGACTAGCCGAGAAAAAATGTCCAGAAAATTAGATTTAGTTTAATACAAGGTAATTAACTTGAAACTTTATATTGTCTGACTACGCAGTATTTAGTCTATCGAAAGGCACGATTAAGCATACTCTCTTCTCTTTATCAAATTGTTGTTAAATTAGACGAACAAATTCATTTACTTGAACAATGCAGTCCTATGAACCATCCTACTGAAGAATTCTTGCCATTTATAACTTGGTATTTTATCACGATACGATAGTACCACCGTAGACGTCCATAAAATTTTTTAATATCAGCAGAATGCGAAGATGAATATTAAGGTAGACTTTATGAAATACTTCTTGGGCGATAAAATCTACTTAAAGGTCTCATAACAAATACAGATAAAACAGCAAATGCAAATATCTATATAAAAGAAGATACGTACCAACAATATACTCATGACCGTTCGATTATTTCCACGACGACACATCAAAGTAACAGTATAGTCTCTAAAATCTAACCGATGTGTACAAAAGGCCAAATCTTGAAGAGTTTAATTAATGCAGCAACTTAGATTGTTGAGTAAATTGCACCTGTACAGCGTAAAAACGCTAGACTGCATTTACCAAATGTCAACCACGAGGTGAACCCTGCCAATTCGTTTCCATTTGCGATTAATGCGCAGGAGGAGGAAACAGAATCTCCTCTAAAGGGTAATTCTAAAAGGTTGCTTGGAAACTGAAACAATTCAATTTCAATATAACGAGAGACGAGAGGGCAGGCGTAACGATATAGTCAACCACGGTCCACAGACAATTGCTCGGATCTTCGTTGGAATGTGATTAACCACCCTATTCCCTTCTGCATCGAGACGAGCCAGTAATATCGAGGAATTATTTTCAGGCACAAATTTCTTTCTTCGATATGAGTATAAAAACCATAAGGGTTCATCGTACTCTCTAGACACATCAGCTTCTAGTCAGAAATTCCGTAAGAGGATTACATTATCCTTGTTATGTGCCATAGCGTGAGACTGTTTTCCATTAACTTCCCTTCACGGTTCATTATCAGTCAAGTGTATTATGCTGACATTGAGGTGCATTTACCGACTATCTTTGTGTGATGCACTTCATATGAAATTAATGAGAACGATTACCTATGAGAACGAATCGAATTAACGCATATTAAACATGCATTAGCGTTTTATGAGGGTACTTATATGAAATAAAGATTACATGTGGAATTATAAAGAAGTAAGATAGTAGAATAGGAGTGGAGATGTATTGGAATAGATTTGTAAATGTTATGGAAGTTGTTGATTATTATATTAGTTTTTTTTTTTTTTATTTAAAATTTCACATTCACAATTTGCCCAATTTGGACATTTGGTAGAATTTTTTATCTGTTTGATTATCATGTGGGTGGCTACCCCCAATGGGGTACCATCTTCGTGTTTGTTAAGATATATCCTTTGTGATTTATATTAGCGATTAATAAAAGATTGTCTGAGAAATGAGTAGAATGATAACAATTCACAAAAATACCAATGATCTTAATACCTCTTGGAATTCGTATGTTGACCAACGTAATTAATTTCGCTTTTCCGGTGTAAATGAATGCCACCGCCGCAAACCACGTGTCCACGTCGCTAATTACAATCTACGATAATTAGGAATGATGTGACTGATACGATGTTAATATGAACACGTAATGTGTAACATTCGCAATTAATTCTTGAATGAGAAATGAAACGTAGCTACTCGAATGGCCAAAAAGAATGAAATACACAAAATTCTTACAAAAAGAATTCGAAATTTTTAACTTAAAATTTTTAACTGTCGAAATATTATTGCACGTATAGGTATAGAAACCATTCTGCACTCTACATCATTAATTAGACTGCTAGAAAATTCATATGTTTTAAATGTTTCTGAAAGAGTAAGTTTGAACTCGATCGATCTCCCAATTTGTGACGTCACTAGTTACGTCACATAAACGAGGATGGAAAACGTCTGATACAATTTCAATGACGTAGCGGTGCTTTCTAACCCTTTAGAAATTTAGAAATTTATATACTTATACGATATAGCATATAGCAGATAGAAATAAAATATATATAAATCCTACTGCACCCTTTAATAGAGATTATTTTTAGAGATTAAAATATGTTTACAAATCTTACAATATGTTTACTATGATAATAATATCTTGCAAATGTATCCCCGTCATAAAAGTTATAATTAATTCTATTTAATTTGCACTAATTATATAGGGATATATCGATCGAAGCATCCTATTAGCCTGTTATTGATGAATAGCGCTAAATTTAAGAAAGATCACTGTTCGAATAGGTTTCAGAGCACGCTTATGAAAGTGACTTTGTATAGTCCCATTTCAATTACATTCTCCCCGAAACATGCAATAAATAACTAAATAAGAATCAGTATTTGTTAAAATTGGGAAACTATTCTTTAAAATAAAACAAGATAGTGTATATTATAAACAATGCAACTAACAAACAGTTGGTTCACGTCTAACACATTTGCATTTCCTTACAAAACTGTCGTAACGACACGATTTTACTACCGATAAAGTATAATCTACTTCTCATTGTTATGTGAAATTATAGTGTTTGATACATCGTATAGATAATTGTTACATCTCCAACAGCGTTTTTGTATAAGCGAAAATACGTAGTTGGCAATAGATCTGACAGTTAAATTCTTTGAAAAACTAATCGATCATGGTTACGGTGTATCGCGTGTAGCATGCACTGTACATACATACCAATTCACCGAGAGATTTCAACCAGTCCTCTTGTTTCCTCGGTTCACTTATACAATAGTATTCATATATGCACACATACAAATGAGAGCAATCATAGGCAACTACCGCGATTATCCCATTGCGAGGTGTCTATCGTTTTTGTCTGGTTAATCGCAACAAAGATAGAGGAAAATATGGAGCAGCTCTTCCTCAATCAGTAAAGCAGATTCAACCAGTTCTGATACGAGTATCGATGCACTTCTTCCCGCGTAACAGCGATTCAATTTAATAAGGTAACTAGTCATTTCTAGACCTTTTCAATTGTTTGAAACGATGTCACGATCTAAAATAACGACGACACATAAAATGAGTATTAATGAAAAACCATTTGATCCTTTCGATTCGTATCATTCTAATCGATACATTTAACTTTACGTCGCGAGATCTTTTCACATATTTAAACAAGACGGCAGCTGGCTACCTTCAGTTTTGATGCAGTTGCAGCCCTGTGTTCTGATAAGGTTCGCAGCACCACCGCGAGAGTGCGCCAACTGCAACTCAATAAAATCCAAAGAGCGCCGGACGGGCGGTGTTCCGCGATGCGTGATGAGTTTGACAGCTCCCGCGTACTGAATGTTGTTTAAAAAGTATAAAAAATCGATCAAGAGATGTGACTAAGAAAAAATCCTTAACACGTTTCCGTATGCATCCATGGGAGATCATCTAATATGGGAGAATGGTTGGTCATAGAATTATCACGCTGATACTCTTTCTGGCAGGTAAGTACATAATATTCGTTCAGGCGTAAGTGCACCTGCGGATCAATGTGATACTATACATACGTTCGGTGTTCGTGCGCTTATATACGTGCAGCGTATAAATCGGGCTAAGTACACGATCGTTACGATTCAGGGTCGAGTTATGCAAATTTTGCCGTATATCTCGACTTCCCGAGTGGATTATGTGATTTTTTTGTTTTTACATCCTTTAAATGTTTAATCAAAATCGATAGCACAACGACGCATCAATTTGTACTTTTCTATCGAATTGCTTTTGTAGTTCTTATTAGTAATATTAAAGCTTAAAAAATACATATAAGTTTTCGTAAAAACGATATTTTATTTAGATACAGTTATACAAAGTATCAAGTACATTCAGTGAATATAATAAGCTATAATTCAAATTCGATGTTCAGATGCTTAGATTATTATAAATATTTTTTCTATTAGAAAAGGAAGAATTGTGGATCCTAATATTAGGTACATCAATTAATTTTTATATGTGTTTATTTTGTAAATTGTATTAATAAAAACGTATTTGTTTAATGTCTCAGTGAATTTTATTTATATTTTTTATTGTAAATAATATTTTAAATAATAATTTAAATTAATTCATAATTGTAATCCGTAATTTATATCTTTTTATCTATAAATGTTTACCCTATAAAAAGTATTAAAATGCCATTCAAAAAATAATTCTACATAAAATTATTATACAAATACCATTAACTTCATAATTTAATAATTATGTTTTATAATGTTTTTAGCATGGCACGAAGCAGCAACTTTAGTGCCAATAAGATCTGTGGCTGTAGATATAGGTCAGAACTTGACATTAGCATGTGCAGAAGAAGATGCACTGCCACAGTCAGGAGAATCTGTTGGAGTGATGTGGATAAGGGAGGGACGGGAAGATGGACAAATTGAAAGACTAAAGGTTGAGCCTAATGGAGCTTTGCAACTTATTAATGTTAGTGCAGATGATGCAGGAAACTATTCATGCACTCTAGATGACGATCATGATGCTGTCAAAACTAGAATCAACGTACAAGTTAGAAGTAAGTTACTTAAATTTAAATGTAATTTTAAAGTAATTGCAGGTTTATATTGTATTTTTTACTCTATTTCAGCTCCTCCACCAGCTTTACACAATGTATGGGTTAAACCATCAACAATATTGGCAAATATTCTTTGGGAAGTAGCTGGCACAGGTGGTTATCCTATCATAGATTTCACTGCCGAATATCGTCTTAAACCGAATGTGGGTGAAGAACCAGAAGACTGGAAGCCTATTGTTCCAACGCACATTCCTCCAAATTCTGTAAACAATTTTTCTTTTAATGAAATCAGCTCTATATCACTGACTGTTGTTATTAAAATTGATAATTTTATAGAGGCAAATTGATGTGTATCACTTGGTGCCAAACACTACTTATTCGTTTCGAGTCTGGGCAACAAATCAGCTGGGGAGAGGAGAAATAGTTGAGGTTGAAGGTCATACTCAACACAGTAGTGAAGAATTAGGTATATAATTTAAACGTGATAACTTTACATGATCTTGCATGTAAACAAATTAGTATTTATATAAAATAAATACTATTGCTTACTAATTATAATTGACAATTATTTCAGAACTTGCAAGACATCTCTTAGCAGGTGTAGAAAATTTTGACACTCGTGTCTGGGTGGCAGCAGTAGGGATAGTTATGGGTACACTTATGATTCTTGGTATAGGTACTTGTTACCTCCTCTATCGTGAGTGCAAAGTACCCTGTAAGCATTTCCTGGTAACTTTATCTAAAAGCTTTTGCTTCTACTCTTTCTCTTTCATGCTATTTATTTCTGCTGATGAAACTTATTTCCTTCTATGCAAATAAATTAAAGTAGAATATGCTAGATTATCTAAGTTTGAAAAATATAACATGATTATCTAGAGGACGAAATCTGCAGCAGAAACGATAGCATCACTAACCACTTAACTTATCTATGGCCCTGATCTCTAGCTTTCTTTACATCAGCTATTCTCCTTTCAATCAATTTAGTGCTATTCTAATACAGTGCCAATTATCTTTCACTAATATTTCCCTACTGCAAGCGCTCTGCAAATTAGCATTTAATGAATTTTCTAGCGTTCAACTTTTAAAATTTACTAGCGTTTAATAAATTTTCTTACCAATACCGATTTAACAATAACACTTTTATAACTTTTGCACAAAACACTTTACAACATAAGGCACTAAAATAATCTGTAACATATTTATATCTTTCTATACAGTTTGCCTGTCAGTAGCACCTTTCTTACTCCTCATAGGAATGAAACCTATAACTTATGAATGGACTTTATCAACCACCAAACTTGCTCTGTCTATATAAAGAATTTTTATCTTACTCTTTTACTAACTATTATATTTTAAATTAAGAAGCTTTGGTGGTTTGTATAAAATTTGTTATGCAGAATGATTAGTGTCATGAATAGAAAATATTATAATAATAGTAATATAGAGCATTATGGCCTAGATAACATTGTGTGCTATTAGTAAATCTTTGACTGTATAAAACTTAGGTCAAAGGTAGCACAAATATATTTGCTGGGTAAGCAATATATTTATATATATGAAAAATTTCTCAATGTGTTTTCATTGATTTATTATTGTATATATATAGATCTTAAATTGAACATAGGATTATTCAATTGTTAATGTAACATAAGTTGTTCTTGAATATCCATGGCCCAGCAAACACTGGTAAAGGGAGAGGGTAGAAGCTAATATAACTCATGGCCCAGACCAATGAAAATTAATCTCCGTTCCCAAATTGCAGCGCAGCTGGAGGAGCAGGAAGTGATTGAACTTGTACCCAATATCATTCTGAATCCAGGATTTTTCGACGAAAGAACAGAACACATTCCTCAAGATGAAAATTTCAATAACCAAACCACTACACGCTTAAACAATAATAGCGTTGTGCAACCTATGCGACTTTAGCGACTAAATATTTAGATTTCTGTGGCTAATTTTTATTAACAAGTGGCTTGAGCACAATTTATGTGTCACCTTAAACGTAAGTAACTGGAATTACAAGAGGCCTCGAATCCGCCAAGTATCACAATGCGTAGAATCAGATAAGCAATGAAGATGATAATTATTGCGAAAGTGGAAATTTATGTTTATAGTCAGAAAATTGAGAGACGCATCATACATTCCGAGTATTCTAAGGAAATAAATTTTTCACTTACAATACAATGTAAAGTGTTCAAAGCATATGTAAGACTCTGCTAGGTTTTGTGAAATGAAGTAGCACATTTTTGAGAGTGTTTACCAGGATGTTCTAGCATTAAAATTCGATATCGTTGCTCAGTTATCGAGCTTAAAGTCAAGAACTCCTGTAAGCGAAAAAAGGAATATTCTTAGTAAGACTGTAATTCTAAGAACAAAAGGCAAATTTTTGAAGAAACTGAAATCATACGACATTAATATTAAGCGGCAAATTTTTGTCTTACGTTCTGCATGAATTCATGTTTTTTACGCAATTATTTTTAACCATTATCACCGAACACGAATGAGATTTTAATGGACAATATCATGCAGGGAGTAAGACTTTTGCCAATAATACACATCATCCGATTAAAAAAATTTTGTCAAACACGAGGTATGATTAAAGGCTTGCTTACTGCCGTTTTAAGGTGTGCAGAAGTCGTTGGTAAAAAAGTTCCTTTTTTGTGTCTTTATAAAAGTTACTGTTTTTTTATTTATTGTTATACGAATGCATTTGTTTTTTTAGAGAATATTTTGATAATGCTTTCTTCCAAAAAAATTAATATAACGGAAGTCAATGCACCATATGCTCTTTCTGGAAAAATCCTGTGAATCAGAGAGTGTACAGTGTAAAAATCATAGTACTCTAATTATAAAAATAATTCTATTATGTTAATGTTATTTCTAGTAATATTATATTCTTAATACTTTTAACTTTGCATGTAACTATTCAAATATGTCTAATGCTTCAACATGCTTTTGCACTACCTTAATAACAAATGCAATATCCACTGCTATTGAATTATAAAAAGCTATGAAATCAAATTTCATCAAAACCAAATCTTAACAAATACAAAATAGCACAAATCCATGAAAAATAAGTTTCGGTACATAAACTTTTTAGGAAAATGAAAAAAAAGAACATTCAATAAATCTTCATAACATTCAACAAATAAAAATTATTCATGATCATCATTCGGTTCAGATTAGTGGTAAATATAGGGCAAAAGTAGAATAGGTTAAAATATTTTGGATATCACCTTTGATAGAATCAAGTTTGTAATCGATCGTTAAAACAGATCTTTTCCACAAATATTCATTTTTTATGAGAAGTATCGTCTCGAATTGCATACAAAATTTAACTTAGTCAATCAATGAAGGTTGATGATTTTGATAAAAGTTCTTCCTGTACAAACAGATACATACATAGTTATTTTCCACAATTTACATGTAGTACCATATCAGAATTTATCATTATGTGAAATATGTTATTAAGATTGTGGTAGTAGGTGTCGAGACTTTTCTTAGTAAAAAATAATAAAAAAAGAGGTCTATTTTTAATTTATTATTAACTTTGAATTTTTTAGATGAAACTTTTCTCAGAAAAAGAATCAAGATAAATTTGTTTACTTTTATTGCTTTTTATTGATTAATTTCAGTTAAAACACCATAAGTGATGAAAATGGAAATGGTTGTGGAAATTGATTCTTGTGTGTATTAGTCTTTCATGTGTTAATAGTAAAGCTCATAATATAAGAAACATAATACCTTAATGATTCTACTTAAAACAATTACATAAGTTAAATATTGCTTTTGTCAATATAAAAATCTGACAAAAAGCAATTTGGTGCACGCAGGTTGTATAAATATTGGTTGTGCGTTGTTACATTGAAGCTTTATGATCTGTTCTTCCCTGCAGTATAATCTTATAGGGGTGAACAGATTCAATTCGGCTTCGTACTATGCACTCTGTGTTGTGAATGGTATATATACGCGCTAATGAAAAAATAATATGATAATAACAATAATGATAACAATATAAATATATATATTTATATAGCCAAGGCATCATGATATTTTAGCTATAAGCAAAGACAATTTTTTATATAAATAATAATAATGCTGAAATGCAATGATAAATATTTATCTACATATTCATATAGATAATTTTGTGCTATGATATCGAGCTTCAAGAGTGATCTAGTAGATATGCTCATTAAGAGTATTTCATGTAGAATATCATGTTCCTCTCTCCATTTAGAAGAGTCGTGTTTTTTCACTTTTTCAAGGATTGTATAAAACATCCTTCATTTTTACAAATCAATGCAATACTTTTAAAAACGATGAATAATACATTGTAACAATTGCACCCTTTTTCTATAAAGATAACTTTTCCTGCTTTAAATAATCCAGCAATAATATGTCATATATATTACTTTAGAACACGACTCTTTATATATCATACACATTTAAATAGAATTATAATCACTTGTTTCTGCTGAAATATATAACAATAGGTGTACTGTAATTTAAATATTTAACTGTCTCTATCAAAGCTGTCTGGTGAAGGCATAGGTTTTGCATTTAGCGGCATTAATAATGTGGTGAAGCCTGATAAAAAAAGGAGTATAAATGTTACTTGATATATAAAATGAAAAATTATTCTTATAACTACCAGCTGCTATAGAAACTAACAATAAAATTTAGTCCTCTGGGTTTAGAATTCTGCCATTGCATACCATTAGAAGATCTGCATATCTACCTATGCAATGTAGGATGATCATAAAATAACTTTAATTACATTAGAAATACAATCAGTAAAATAATATCATTAGAATTGAAAGTAAATAGGAAGATAATCATGATTCTTTCTTTTTCCAATAAGATAAATACACACTCTTTTTAAACTAAATATTTCAAATTAGTTACAGTACTAATGAACACAAAAATTAATTGCTAACTTTAATTACAAGACATGTCTTTATCATTCTATACCAAAAAATTGTCAAATACTATAATGGTGTAAAATAGATATATTTTTATGAGGTAGATCACAGTGTTATAAACTTAAATCTATGACTACAATGATAATGGCAGATATTTTATGTTCATACTATAAATTACATAAAATCGACAAAAAATCTTAATCTATTTCTGATTAAGACTGCTTTCTGTTTTATCTAGTAATTTCTTTCATTTAATTCTCTTTTGCATTGATAATCATACATCTTTGAAATTCAAAAGCTATTAAGCACAGCATGTGCATAGCATTTGTCATTATACCTTTGTAGTTAAATGTATTGCATTAATATATTTACTTCACATAACACACTCATGTGAAATATATATTAAGTAAAGCACAATACCATAGAATAGTATAATGGTTGCTGGTGGCACCATAAATCGTCCCTAACATACATATTGCTTGCCTATGACATACCAGAAGAAAAAGAAATTTAATGTGGTTTTTACAAAAAGCTTCAAATTGATTCTGCTTTTTTCATAAAAAGCTGATTTTGCTATATGATATTTTACATATAACACGTATTTACAAATATTTGTAAATATCATACAACCATTTCTAAATCCTTTACTTTTTGTAAAAACTACATATCTGTCGTGTCATTATCTATTAGATTAATAATATTAGTTTAACATCCTTACATTAAGTGATGGTAAAAGAGATTTATAACGATATCTCCATAAATAATGTTATAGCGGATAAGTATTAGTCTCGATATTAATTCTGCGATAAGTTATTTAGTTATATATTAACTGAAATAATGTATTAGCTTTTGGTGATTTCTTTATATAATTATTTATTTTGTAAAAAAAAAAAAGAATGAAAAGCGCAAAAACATATGTTAGAACCGAAATTTGTATATAGTATACACATTATTGTTTTGTTTCTATATTTTGTATAAATTGTTAAATATGCACGCTTGATTATATTAACTTACTTTATTTATGTTAAATATATTGTGTCAGATAAAAAAATCTAATAGTAATCCATATTCATATAAAATTGTTCGCGTTGAATCAGCGTTATTTTAGTTCCAATATGTTGTATAAATCCATTCCATTGACATTATACGCGGTTATAATGTGTAGAAAAATGTTTTCCTAATACCGACATATTCATGGTTTATTTTATAAACTACGAATAATGCACATTCCATCACGTACAAATCCTATATTAAAAGAGAAAAATACGAAAATGTAACATGCTTGGGTTAAAAATTGTTTAAGTATTTTTGTGGAAAAAATAAAGAAAATCAAGGTTGTGCTTGAATGGCTGATACTATCATTAATTAGTATTTAGCTTTCATACTACAATCAGGAGACAAATATTAGTTACATATCAGAGAAGACATAGCAATTAGTTTAGTCACTTTTCACTTAGATACTGATTGCAATCATCAGATACGAACTATACTAGCTGCTATATTATATTCATTTTTATAACAGCTTTAAAAATTTTTTTATAAAAATATAAGAATGTACATTATAACATTAATTTCATGAAAATAATCTGATTCTCTCATCTTGCATTTCTGTCAGGATATGATTTATTCATCAAATGAATGTACATTATTAAATTGCAATCAGAATGATGCAAATATCATGAAAATTTATGTACATTTCTTTTAACAGTATTCATTAACTGTAATATTTTATGCATTTTCATTGTATTAATATAGCAGTATACATGACCAGCATACTTAATAATGTATGTACTACATATAGCTTTAATTCTACATTTTTATCAAAATGGTTGTCATAATGGTTGTCATCATAATCATCATATTTCATATAAGAAATCATACAGATTTATTTATAAAACTCATTAAAAATATTGATACAATAAATAAAATCATTCATAACATTTGTTTCTTCCTTTATTACAATTAATCTACATTACCACACTGAGTTAAAAGTAAAGTCTTTTCAATGTCTAAGCATAATTTTTTAATACCATTAGGTGGAGCATATTCTGCTGCCAAAATAGCAGTTGCTACTGCTATTGTTTCTTGAATAGTCCTTGCTTTGACCCAAACTCTACCATTCATACCAACTGCAACTTCAAATGCTTGACTACGTGAAAGTGTTTTGAACAATAGGGAATTGCGATTTAATATTTTTCTGACAAGACTCAAAGAACAAGTAAAAAGCATGCCTTCAGAGCTTAAAGCGCCCAATTTCTTTTCTTTACCATGAGAATCCACACATACAAGTTCTGGTTCCATATCTTTACTGGCAACTAAAAGCTTTGCAAACACAAGGTCTCCGACCTGAATGTCAGGACGATTTTTCTTTGTAGCTCCTTCAAATGCCAGATATGAAAGAGATGCTTGTTCGCTGGCACCTATATCTACCTTGAAAATATCACTACTTCTCTGTGTTACTATACCAACTACATTTTCTCCGCGGTTTGGTACATAACTATAAAAAGAAAATACAATATATGAAAATCTTCTAAAAAAGTGCTAAAATGCTCCTTTAAAATAGAATTTGATTACCGCTTTTGATAACTATCTACATAATATACAGCTGGTTCTGTTTTCTTTAGTACACCTGCTTTATATGCAAATACTGTATCAGCTTCACGACGAAGTCCAGGTCCTAAAATGATTGTTTCTTTTTTGGTAATTGTAGTAATATCTTTTATAGTATCACCAGGCATTACTACGTCTCCTACACTGACTTCCATTGTCCCTTAGAAGTAAGTGATCTTCGTTTTTACGTTATAATGTAAATTAATATAGGTTATAAACATATCATTTACTCATATCTTTTATTACGAAGTGATCATGAATAAAATTATCCATAAATGTATTACTTCTCACTGATGTGATTATAAACATACAAAATTATAGATAATAATGTTTGATTGTATTCTGTCGTACCACGTGCATTGCTTCGTGATAAACTTAATGTTTTCTCCTAATCTCGCGCGTTTGTTCGAAACAGATTCAAAAGAAAAAGCGGCTGCGCAATATAATATATATAAATTGATGAAATCAATTATACAAGAATTGTTATCGATATCACGAATGTACTGGTATAGAAAATAAATGTTATTTTTTTTATTTCTGGAACTAGAGCTATTAGACTTAATATAATTCAACTATGAATTTGAATATTGTGGAAAAATATTGTTCTTGAAGCGATTGCGAAATACAATGCAATTTTCCTGGTCTTACGCTTATGTGCGATAGTGATGCCACCGTACGGTACGTTGCAAAGCTGCCGCGTGAAAACGGTAACGCCACAGGAATCGCGCTACTGGTTGTGTTTTTTCGTTAATTGGTTTCGTTTTAAGAAGGGTTTGAAAATCGACAGTTTCGTGCATGACACAACAAGATTGTCAGTGGTGTCACTAATGTAAAGGTAATGCTTTTCGACGACGCAAAGTGTATATTTGTGAAATTTGCGCAACGTTCACCGGATCGATAATTGATTTACGTGTGTTCTATTCTAACCTACCTGCCCGTTCCTTCCAAAGTTATTAGTTCAATCATGTCACGTTGCCGATCGATTCGTCGCGATTTAGTTAAGATTTCACTTTGGACACTTGGAAGAATTCTATTAATATACTCCGCGACCCCAATAAAGATGATCTTTAGTCAGGTTTCTAAATGCCTAACCAGTATGCCTATTGTGCACTTACTGTCATTCATTGTTAAGACACTCGTTAATCTATATTATGTACAGAAATGTTCCCGTGATTCTTAGTCAACAAAAATATATATGTATATAGTATCATTCTTTGAAATTCTTTTTCTTGTAAAGTTTATCCCTGAAAATTTCTATTCTAACATAATAAACATGAATGGACTTATTTAATTACCTAAATTCAATTAGTATATCATTTAAATAATATTTGTAAGAATTTATTTATGTATATTCATTTTTACCAAATATGTGTTTGTTTTTTTAATATTCGTCGATATTAATAAATTATTCTTTAGAATTCTTTTACATTTTATGATTCTAGGTATAATACAAGATGTACAATGGAATTGGATTACAAACACCACGAGGTTCTGGAACAAATGGTCATGTCCAAAGAAATTGGGCAATTGTACGCAAGACTAAAGACAAAGTCACTTACAAAACCGATGAAGGAAAATTAGATCAGCTAAATAAGCAACCTAACAAAGATATTCTTGATCATGTTAGAAAAAGGAAAGTTGAAGTCAAATGCGCAGAATTGGCAGATATCTTAGAGGAACAAGGGTAAGTACATATCTTTATTTTTATAATAATATTGTACATAAATCTGATTATATTATTGTAATATCATAATTGCTCAAAAAATAAATATTTCTTAGAAATAAATTTAAAAATTAGATATAGATTATGTACGAAAGAAATACAGAGCTTCATCGACCCTTTGAACCCAATAGTAAATGAGATTCCGAACTTCAATTGGATTTGGCTTATCTTTGGCTTCAATATATTCTTTCTATGCAGTGTATTTCTTCACTAAACTGCTAACTATAATTAAAAAAATGCTAGAATTCTTCTTTATTTGCTTTCTTTGTGCTTTATAGATTTACATCCGAAGAGGTAACAAAGAAAGTAGAATCATACAGATCCATGTTAATGGGAACTGACACCAAACCAGCAATATCTAGAGATGAATTTGGTCGTGTAAAGTAAGTACATTTTCTTCCTTATTAATACATTTCTATATGATTATATTATATAAAATATGATCGAACGAAATAAATAAACGAAGTAAATAAGCTGCATTTTTAAATATGCTACAAGTAATTTCATGATATAAAATTGCATGCAAATAGTATTGCATGGTATGTAAATGATGAGCAATATTAGGTTGTTTCTATTTTAAGACTATATTAAGATCCTCTTTATTTATAAAAAAGAAAAAACTTAAAAACCACGAATTCAATGAAAATTTAAACTTTTACGTAACTATTCGTTCTAAATCCATTCATTTATGTCGTTCCAAAACGCTCATATCGAAAATTTTGAAAACGAAAGTTTTAAGAGATTTCGAGATAAAGATCTAATAGCTACGATGGCTAGAACTCGTGCAAATGTAATGTCGGGGCTGCAGCAGCTTCTGATCGGTAGCTCAGGTTCCCGCTAAACCCAATATTATTGGAGGGTGGAGACATAGTCGCGTTCTCTCTCCCGAGTCGGCTTTCAGGGATATTACGCGGCCGATATCGACGTACCCCATAGCGCCGGCGCCACCCACGAACGGGGGGAGATACGGAGGTGCACAGAAAGAGAAACAGAGATACGCAAAGGGTCGAGCCAGAGAGAGGGAGAGTTCTGTTCCAGCATCTCTCATACTCGACTCTTTCCGCCTCAGTGCGAGGATGGACCGGCGTTACGACGCTACGCG